GCTCGACAACACTAGCGGGTGCTCAGCAAGACTGGTGAGTGGTTCACTCATCTGAGCCAGTGATCCTATGGGCTAACAAGTGGTATCGAGCCATACAAGCGCCGTCGCCAAACTAACCGCTGGCAATGACGGGCGGTTCAGAGATGGGCAACAGCAGTTGCACTGCTGTGGCTGCCCAGCCACGATCGGAGGTCATTGTTCGCATGGTACGGGAGGTCAACGGCACCAGTTGGCCGATGCTGACTCGCACCAACTATGTAGAGTGGTCGGTGACCATGATGGTCGAGCTTAGAGTCCGACGGCTCTGGAATGCTGTTGACAAGGGCACCAAAAATGAGGAAGATGACATGTCAGCATTGGAGGCTATCCTCGCTGCTATATTGGCGGAGTATAGGGAGCCGTTGGGGGCAAAGAGCTCTGCTAAGGAGGCATGGGAGGCTATTGTGGCGATGCGTGTCGGTTCCAACCGTGCAAAGAAGGCAATGGCCCAACTTCTGAGGCAGGAGTATGCCTACCTCAAGTTCAAGGATGGTGAAATGGTGGAGGACTTCTTCCTCCGCCTGTAGATGCTCAATAGCAAGCTGAAGAGCCATGGTGTCACCATCGACGAAGAGGAGGCGGTCTCCAAGTACCTCCACTCTATGCCGGCAAAGTATATCCAGATCGCTCTCTACATAGAGACGATGCTGGACTTGTCCACCCTCACCATAGAGGATGTGATCGGCCATCTGTGGGTGGTGGATGAGCACCTGAAGCAGGTGACAGCAATGAAGGACAGAGGCAAACTGCTACTGATGGAAGAGGAGTGGGCTGCTCGGAGAAACTTCGGGAAGGCAGCCTCCTCCAGCCGTGGTGGCGATGGCAAGCGCCGCGGCAAGGCTTCTTCGGAGAAGAAGCAGGTTGACCCAACGCCTACCGGCGCTGTGGGAAGATGGGCCATTGGGCACGGGAGTGCCCAAATTGCAAGTAGGAGAAGAAGGCTGAGGCTCATCTGGCGCAAGCTGATGATGAGGATGAGGCCACTATCCTGATGGCGACATTCTGTGCACTGCACGACGTCGAGGCCGAGGAGAGGGAAGAGGCGACGATGGTCGAAGGACCTAGGAAGGCCCTGAAGACTGTCAAGCTCGACGAACCATGCGCCCAAGTCCACCTCGGACATGTGGGCGCCGACCAGGAGCAGCGATGGTATCTGGACTCTAATGCCAGCAACCACATGATGGGCTCCAAGGCATCCTTCTCCGAGCTCGATGACGATGTTACCGGTACGGTGAAGTTTGGTGACGGCACAAGGGTGGCTATCCAAGGGCATGACACCATCATCTTTAGGTGCCAGAACGGGGAGCACCGCGCACTAACGGATGTATATTACATCCTGTAGCTGCGTTCTAGCATCATCAGCATTGGTCAGCTGGATGAGCGCGGTAGCAAGGTACTGATCTATGACGGAGTCCTTAGGATCAGGGACCAGGAGCAGCGACTTCTTGCCAAGGTGAAGAGGTCCCTGAACCGGTTGTACATGCTCGACCTAAAGGTAGAGCAGCCGATGTGCTTGGCGGCAAGGCACACTGAGGAACCATGCATGTGGCATGCCCGGTTCGGACATCTCAGCTTCGGCGCGCTTGGTCGGCTGGAGAAGATGGTCCAAGGGCTATCCCACATCAAGCACAAAGGCGAGCTATGTGATAGCTGCCTGGCTGGGAAGCAAAGGAGGCTATCATTCCCAAAGGCGGCCAAGTATTGCGTGAAGGACGCTCTCGAGCTTGTCCACGGCGACCTCTATGGGCCGATCACGCCAGCTACAAACGGTGGTCGGCGGTACTTCCTCCTGCTCGTGGATGATTGCAGTCGCTACATGTGGCTATAACTCCTGACGAGCAAGGACGAAGCTATGGCAGCGATCAAGAAGTTCAAGATGCATGCGGAGACCGAGAGCGGCAAGAAGCTCCGCATGCTGAGGACTGATCGCGGCGGTGAATTCACGTCGGTGGAGTTTGCTTCGTTCTGCGTGGATCAGGACGTGGTGGAGAGGCGGAACCAGATGGTGGTCGGCATGGCCCGATCCATGATGAAGGCCAAAGGCATGCCGGTAAGGTTCTGGGGTGAGGTAGTGACCACGGTGGTGTTCTTCCTAAACCGCTGTCCGACCAAGGCCCTAATAGGCAAGACGCCGTTCGAAGCTTGGTATGGGCGCAAGCCGAGCGTGTCCTTCCTCCGGACATTCTGCTGCATCGGCCATGTTAGGAAGACAAAGCCGAATCTCACCAAGCTGGAGGATAGGAGCACACCCATGGTGTTCCTGGGCTACGCGGAGGGTCCAAGGCATATCGGCTCTATGACCCACACGGAGACAAGATGCTTGTCTCGATCGACATCGTGTTCGACGAGAAGACAACTTTGGACTGGAGCAGTCCGAGCATAGGGGAAGCTGGCGGCTTGACCAGCACCTTCATCGTCGAGCACCTAGTCATCCACGGTGGTGGAGACGCTGGGGAAGAGTTGCCGAGCACTCTGGGAGGAGTGCTAAGGACTCTAGCGGCAGAGCCGAGTACTCCTGGGGCAGTGCCGAGCACTTTGGGAGGGATGCCATGCACTCTGGGAGGAGTGCCGAGCACTCCTGAGGGATGCCAAGCACGCCCGGAGTGGTGCCGGGAGGTTCTACAGTGGTGGCGACCTCTCCAGGACGGGTGCTGAGAAATCCCGTGGCGGAGCCAAGAGGTCTTGCAGTGGTACCAACCACTACAAGACTAAGGCTGAACACTCCTACATTGGTGCCGAGCACTGCAGGAGTAAGGACGAGCTGTCCAGAAGTAGTGTCGAGCACTGCAACCAGGGTGTCGAGCACTCAAGGTGCTGTGCCAAGCACTCCGGCGAACAGGGAACTCCATCGACGCCGATCGAGTTCGCTTCACCTCCCGGTGACATCACTGAGTTCGTGGATGTCTTCCACGAAGGTGAGGAGGTGTGGTTTCGCAGGCTAGACGACATCGTCAGTGGCATAGGACCCTCAGGACTGGTTGGTCGGCTGCTTAATGACGCAGAGCTGCTGCTCGTCTGTGTAGAGGAACCACCCACGTTCGCGCTGGCCGAGCGGGACAAAAACTGGCGACGGGCGATGCTGGAGGAGATGAAGGCGATCGAGGAAAACAAGACATGGCAGCTCGTCGATCCACCTCCAGGATGTCGTCCGATCAGCCTGAAGTGGGTGTACAAGGTCAAGTGGGACGAGCTCGGCACCATTGTCAAGCACAAGGCGTGCCTCGTCGCCCGAGGCTTTGTTCAGCGCGAGAGCATAGACTTCGAGGAGGTCTTTGCGCCAGTAGCGCACATGGAGTCGGTCTATTTGCTAGTAGCCTTAGCAGCAGCGAAGGACTGGCGTGTCCATCACTTGGACGTTAAATCGGGCTTCCTCAACGGCGAGCTGGCGGAGACGATCTTCGTCAGGCAACCTCCAGGTTTCGCCATCAAGGGAGAGGAGCACAGGGTGCTTCGACTACGCAAGGCGCTCTACGGGCTACGGCAGGCCCCGGGAGCATGGAACGCCAAGCTTGATGCCATGCTGGGCGAGCTTGGGTTTCAACGGTGCGCAACCGAGCACGCGACGGGGGAAGGAGGAGCTCGTCGTCGGCATGTATGTGGATGACTTGATCGTCACCGGCGCGCGCACGGAGGACATCAATGGCTTCAAGTGCGAGATGGCGGCTCGTTTTCGAATGAGCGATCTCGGTGCACTCTCCTACTACCTCGACATCGAGGTGAGACAGGGGAAGGAGGAACTCACGCTCGGTCAGAGCGCATATGCCTCCAAGCAGTTGGAGCGGAGCGGCATGGCTGAGTGCAAGACATGCGTGACTCCAATGGAGGAGCGGCCGAAGCTGACAAAGGCCAGCACCACGACGAAGGTGGATGCAACACTCTACTAGAGCATCATCGGTGGTCTGCGCTACCTAGTCCACACGAGGCCAGACATTGCGTTCACCATAGGCTACGTCAGTCGCTTCATGGAGGATCCCAGAGAGGATCACTGGGCTGCGTTGAAAAGGCTACTACGCTACGTCAAAAGGACGGTGGATCAAGGGATCATCTTTCCTAAGACCGGTGGGAGTAGGCTCCCTTATGGGTTGAATCGCCCATTGATGAAACGGTCGGCAAATGGTTTTGGTAGTTCTCGCCCTGAGGTCAAGGGTGAAAACATAAGAGGCATCCGCTAGTGGTTTCGCCCACCGAAGCTGAGTGCTGCGATGATGAAACCAAGGGTGAAAGGCGACTGCAGCAAAAAACGGTATCATGAGAGGCTTTTCGGCGTGCCGGTGGCTAGTCGTTGTGGAATGGTGCGATTGCTTGCAGGTTTTTCGTCTTCGAGGCCTGTCGTCCTGTCAGGAGGGCCCGGCGGGCGCCTTCCATGGGGGCCCGAATGGAGGGGACCCCGCCTGTTATGGGGGGAGGCACTATTTGAGGGAGGCCATGTGCGGGCTGCACCAAAAGCGGCTCCGGAGAAGAGGAATATGCTCGAGTATTGCAGTGGTTAGGAGGGCATTGTGGTCCTTGTAAAAAGATATGGTCATGTATAAATAGAGCTCCAAGGGAGCATTGTAAGGGACATGGATCTTTGGTTCCGAGATCAATACAAAGTTTTGTTTCGCCTCCACCTTGTGCTCTTTCCTTTCGGCATCGTTGTGCGCTGAGCAGCCTAAGCGGCAACCTGTGTTCGAAGGCTGAGGCCTAGAACAACACTTCTCTTCAAGGAGAGTACATATATATGCTCCCACATTGCTCACGAACAATAATAAAACAAGAGCATCAACACAAACTTGCAGCCTTGCATTGTGCAAATACTAGCCTGCCACGTGTATGATCGAAATCCGACTCCGTGGCCGGATCGGAATCTCGGCTCGGCGAACCGTATCCGAACTGGACTAGCTTGGTATACTCGGCCGCTTACCTGTTTGCTTAAGCGGGAGCATGCTTGTGCCACGGCTGGTATCGATGAGGCAGCAGCGATGGCCAAACGCAGCAGCTGCAAGGCGCAGCAGGCCACGGTCGTCACGGCGGTGAGCGGCGGCCCACCCAAGAAGAGCAGGCTAGCATCGACGTCGGCCCCGCGGTTCTTGCCGGACGACGTCGTCGGCGAGGTGCTGCTGCGCCTGCCGTCCAAGTCGCTCGCGAGGCTCCGCTCCGTCTGCCGCTCTTGGGAGCCCCTCATCTCGTCGTCCGCCTTCGTCGAGAGCCACCATGCGCTGGCGGCGGCGAAGCGGCCCACCAAGTTTGCCTTCGCACCGACGGCGCCGCCGCACCACTGGAACCTGTTCCCGGGCTACGACGTGCCCTGCCGCGAGTGCCCGAGGATCATCGGGCCCAAGCCCTGCCGCGGCCTCGTCCTCCTGGGCCAGCGGTGCACGCGCACCTACTCCGTGTGCAACCCTTCCACCGGCAGCCGCCTCCGCCTGCCGCCGTGCCTCACGGGGTACTCCTACCTCAAGAGCTGTGCGGGGATCGGCTTCCACGAACCCACCGGCGACTACAAGGTGGTTGTGATCGCCTCGCCCACGGACTACAGGCCGAAGCGCTGCGAGGTGCTGACCGTCGGCGACCCCGCCGGCTGGAGGGCACCGGCGGGGGAGGGAAGCTGCAGCATGCCCGCCTCCTTCGACGTCCAAAACATGGATCCTGTCTTCGCAAATGGCTGCCTCCACTGGGCGCTCCGCGGCGCGTCACGCGTCTCCAAGAATCACGGCGCTGTCCTCACCTTCTCCCTCGCCGTCGAATCCTTCCGTAGAGTGCCTCTGCCGCCGTTCACCAAAGACGATGTCCGCAGATGCTTCATCGACGACTCTAATCCCTATGCCGAGAACCCCCGGAAGCCGGGATACATAAAATGCACGACGCCGACGGGGCCCGTCCTCGCGGAGCTCGGCGGACGCCTCTGCATGCTGCGCGACCTCCGCCACCGCGACGACATGGACGGCACCTTCGAGGTGTGGAGGCTCGATGACTATGACTCCGGCGCGTGGTCCCTGAGTTACCGTGTCGACCTGGCCGAGAACGCCGCGAAGCGGCTGATGACGACGTGGTTCGTCGTGCCGCTCTGCTACCTCGCTGGCGACGGTGACTCCTCCGATCGGATCATGCTCGCCACCACTATGCAGGAGGTCCACGTGTATGATCCCAGGACCCGTACGCTTGAGACGGTGGTTTCTGTGCTCGATGCTGATGAAGCTACTACAAGTCCAAATCGCGAGAATTTTACTGAATTTCAACAGGAATCCACATTTTCCTTATGTGACCGTAGCGAGGATTTGCCGAGTTCAAAAGATTTCCTAAGCTTCGTGATGTTCCAAGAAAGCCTCGTCCATCTGGAAGGCATGGAATACGGCAATAGTGAGCTCGAAATATTGGATGTGTGTAAATGACAAGTACAGTATTATATGTATGATCGGGCTGTTTAGATGACACCGTTGCTTCTTATTAGACTTTTGAAAGGATGTACATGTTTGCCTCAAATTCCTCTGCATTTTATTATTTTGTGAAACCTACAAATAAACTGTTCCTCACAGGTTATTATGCACCAAATATGAAGAACTGAATACAAGACGACCTAAACTATAAATACTCCCTCCCTTTCCAAATACTTGTCAAGATTGACTTAATGCACGGTTACCAAGGTGATCAATTTTTTTTAGGATCAAACGACCAAAATGCTCTTATAAAGTTAGCTTTATGTGATTCTAGAACATTCCAATAGTATTTGGATAAGGGCAAATCCGGAAAATATATTTTGAAAAACGTAAAGTATTGAGTATTTTTAAAACAAGAAAAGGGGTCAAAAGTCACAAGTATTTGGAAATGGAGGTCGCTATTTGCTTTGCTTTGACTAAAATATCAAAGTCATATTCGTAGTGAATTGCACCTTTGTAATGGCATATATTTTCATGGGCAGCTTCCCATAAAAGGAAGGGGACTCCATGGACTCGGCCGAAGAAATAACGGAACCGGCCAGCGTAATCGAACTGCAACAACCTCTCCCCTCCCTCACACTCACAGCTCCGCGCCTGGCTTCCTTCGCCCCACGCACCGATGAATTAAAGGGAAAGGGCGGGGGCGACCACAACGGCGACAGAGACGGTGATAGCGACCACTAGTACAGAAAACGTCTTTAGGGGCTGTTAAATTGGGTTTTCAGGGACGGTTAGAAAAAGATACAATGCCAGCGATTGTAAAGATAGCGCATCGCTAGCTGTTGTTCTAGGCCAAGGCCTTCGAACACCGGTTGCCGCATGAGCGAAATCAATAACCAGAGGTGGGTAAAACGAGATTTGGCGAAACAGAATATGGTGGCGAAACAAGGTAAAGTGGCTTCATTAAGCTTGTTCCTCTCTCTTTACATCACCCAACTGGGGGCTATTTATATATGCCCATAGGCTTTTTGAGGGACAATAATGCCCGTGCAACAACTACGCATTCGAAGAATATTCCCTGTTGTCACGGGCTTGTTCGCCATTTGCAGCCCTCGCCTACCCCGGGTAGCGCCGACCTGGGGAAGACCGACCTGGCCCGCCTCTTGTCGCCCTTCCGACCGGACCGAGTGGGCCCCCGATGAGTAGACGCTGTCAGCCACCTTGGAGCGGGTGACACTTCAGACCGGAGAAACCTGCCATGATAGTCAGATGAGCCTACTTCAGCCATTCGCCTAAGCAAACAGTCTCCACCTATTCGTCTAAGCGAATGGTCTAACACCGATCTCACCCATGGCCGCGTAAGTATAAGCCAACTCCTTCCTCCCGCCATTACGTAGAGGGAGGGCTCGGACGAGAGTCGGAACTGTCGTTTCACAATGTCGAAATGGCCGGTGTCGTGCCCATTTCGTTTGGACGAGATGAAAAACTCGTCCCTCAGGTTCCCTTCATTCCGCCACACCGCGCTTTCCTTTTCGCATTAAGCGAAATGCTCGGCGCCTCGGCGCGTCAGGGTCGCTCAGGCTCACTGCCCTTCATTTTGCTAGCGCGAAATGCTATCGGCGCTATGCTTGGCGTAGCTGGGGCGGCGGAAGAGCTCCACGAGGTGCCCAGAGGTGGGGCATGCCCCCAACATTAGCCCCTCGGCAACACGCGAAGAGGATCTTGCCCTACGCGCGGGTGTCTTTTTCGCCATGGGGCTCAGGCGCCGATCCCGGTGAAGGGTGGAGGTCTGTGGCAGCAGTTTTTTAGGTTAGTTACCATTTTCTCGGTTTTCGTGCCATGGTTATTGTTCCTCGGAAAGCGAACTGTCACGGTGGTTATGTGAACCGTCATAGTGGTTCCTCGATGCTCGTGCCGCTCGGTGTGTGCCTATATAAGGCCCCCCTAGCCGGGCGAGCCATGCGCCTTCATCTCTCTTCCAGGTCTAGCTCGCGAAGCAAGCTTTTGCTCTTCGGCTATTCGCTTGGGCCGGTCGGTAACTCGCTCACCTCCGCCGGGACTCCACTCTTTGCCAAACTTTCCAACATGTTAGACTTTACTTTGTTCTATTCGCTTTTTATTTCCTTTTTTGTCCTTGTACCGATATAATTTTTATCTTCGCCCCTTAGGGGGCGGAGTGTAGTTTTAGTGTGGAAGCGGTGTGTAATGCTTCGTGAATTCACCTATGGGTGTGCTATGTAAAACTGTTTTGTATGTTTTCTTTGTTTTGCACATAGTTTTCTTTGATTGGTTGCACATACTTGGTATTTCGGTTAGGCAAAAGGGTGCCGTCTCCCCAACCTTTAGGGTGGGGCATACACGCATAGACGCTCATGCTCGAGAGGCTTCTATGCCAGCCCTCGACGTATCTCTAGGTCGAATAGGCACCGTCCCCCAGCTTTCTGGCGGCGAGGGGATGTGAGGAAACGCTGACGCTCGAGAGGCTTCTGCGCCAGCCCCTCGTCGTATCGCTATGTTGAATAGGCGCTGTCCCCCCAACCTTCTGGCGGCGAGGGGATGTGCGAAAATGCTGACGCTTGAGAGGCTTCTGTGCCAACCCCTTGGCATATCGCTATGTCGAATAGGCGCCATCCCCCCAGTTTTCTAGCGTCGAGGGGATGTGCGAAAACACTGATGCTCGAGAGGCTTCTGTGCCGCCCCTCGGCGTATCACTATGTCAAATAGGCGTCGTCCCCCTAACCTTCTGGCAGCGAGGGGATGTGCGAAAACGTTGACGCTCGAGAGGCTTCTATGCCAGCTCCTCGGCGAAATGAAGCTGGTGTTGTTTCCGCTTTGAACGCCGTCCTTTTATTGTTTTTGAGATAGTTGAAAGGATCAAGATGCCCAAGAGGGGGGGTGAATTGGGCTAATTCTAAATTTCTTTGCAATAATTAAACCCTATGGTTAGCCCAATTAGCCCCTTATGTCTAGAAAGTGTTTCTATTGATCTAATGCACAAAAGTTTAGCAACCTAAGCTCTAATCCAACTCTAGCATGGCAATTCTATGAATGTAAGTGATAAGAATTGAATTGCTCAAAGTAATTGCTCAAAGTAAAGAGAGAAGGAGGAATGCGGCAATGTTTTGCCGAGGTATCAGAGAGTCGCCACTCCCCACTAGTCCTCGTTGGAGCACCCACACAAGGGTGTAGCTCCCCCTTGATCCGCACAAGGATCAAGTGCTCTCTACGGGTTGATTCTTCGACACTCCGTCAAGGTGAATCACCCACAACCGCTCACAACTGGAGTTGGGAAATCCACAAGCTCCGCCGGATGATCACCAAGCTCCCAATCACCACCAAGCCATCTAGGTGATGTCGATCACCAAGAGTAACAATCATGGACTCTCACTTGACCACGACAAGCCTAATGAGAAGGGTGGATGCACACTTTACTACTCTTGATCTCACTAATGAGGGCTCTCTTTGGGATTCTCAAATCTCAATCACCTCACTAGGACCTTGATCTTCTTGGCACTCTCAAAGGTGTTTCTTAGCTATTGGAATGAGCAAAGTCCTCCCACACACGAGTGGAGGAAGTATTTATAACACCGGCTGAAAAACAAACCGTTATGTGCCTCTGCGGGGTGGCCGGACGCTCCGGTCATGTTGATCGGATGCTCCGGTCAGTTCACCCTGACCTCCAGTGTTCAAGTGATGACCGGACGCGTCCGGTCACAATTTTCCCTCTCTAGAACCTTACTAGAGTCGATCGGACGCTGGACAACGTTCGGTCAGCACTGACCGGACGCGTCCGGTCGCAATTTTCCCTCTCTGGAACCTTACTGGAGTCGACCGGATGCTGGCTCTCAACGTCCGATCACTTCACCTCTCAGTGTCCGGTCACGCCAGACGAAAAACCTTGGTCAAATGAACTGACCGGACTCTGAGCCAGCGTTCGGTCAAACCGAAGCCAGCGTCCGGTCAGTATTTGACCCTCCATTCACTTCTAACTCTCGATCATACGTGAGTGAAGTTTGCTCTAATGGATCTAAGGGCTTTTAGGAGCTACCTAATGCTAGTTTTAGCAAGTGTGCACCACACCTAACCCACTAGACTCACCTAGGTCAAGCTACCCATCCATACCCCCCTTAATAGTACGGCCAAAGAAAAAACAAAGTCCTAAACTACTCTAAGTGTCTCTTCAACACCAAACGACACTTAGAACTAGTCCATCCTTAACCTTATCGTCCATCCTTTGAAAATCGAAATGATTTCCATCGTAGGGGCATGACCACCATGATAGCCCAATCGATCTCCATTACCGTGACCTAACTTAATTGCCTCTACAAAACACATGTTAGTTACAGTAATCACGTATTGTCATTAATCACCAAAACCCAACTAGGGGCCTAGATGCTTTCAATCTCCCCCTTTTTGGTGATTGATGACAATACCACCTCAAGTATGTGAAAGAGATGAGGTTTTTAACATGCTTGGTTCATATAAGCTTTTAGCAATAAGAACAAAAGAGTTAGTCAAGCTTATATTACCCAAGCCATCATAATGTATTCCAAAGATATGAAATAAGCATGAGTACAAGTAATAAAGCTCATTTGCATCGGAGTAAAACGTGGAAGCAAATCAAATGAGCATAACACAAGTGATATGACATATAAATAATTCAAAGTAGAGAGCACACATGTCAAATATCACGATCCCATAGATATCACTATCACATGGATATAGTTTGATGCATAAAAGTAAACACACGAATGCATAATAGTGTATCACACATAAACTCCAAATGTAATAGATAAGCTAATAAATAAACTAAGCTCCCCCTAGATATGTCGCTCCCCCTAAGGCTAACATACTCAATCCCTCTCCCCCTTTGGCGTCAAACACCAAAACCTAAGGGTCGGTCGGCGGGGCTGCAGCGAACGAGTCGGGCGCTGAGGTACGAGGAGCGAGCTGAAACTATGTGCCATCATCATCTGATCCTGAGCTCTGAGCTGTATGACCCTCTATCGCTGGAT